ATGGATATTAGTTAAGTAGGTCACTATAGCTGGGGTACTAGTTTAATAGGTCACTATAGCTAGGTTATTAGTTAAGTAGGTCACTCTAGAAATAAAACTCGCGTAACTTACTTTTTATTAATCTTAATTTTATATGTGTATCTTTTTTTGTATCTATTTTTGTTTCCTGTGGGCAGAAATGGAACTGCCTATGTTTCTGGTTTGTAGAATAAGGTGTTAAAATTAAAATTTCGTAATGAAATAAAAATAAAATTCAACTATTCTCCTAAATAGAGCTTGGCTTCACCAGCACAGAACCATCAAATTAATTGCTCTAGCTCAAATTGTAAGAAACTTATGAATTTTCGACAGCTCTGGAAAAGCGGTAAATTTCAAACCACTCAAGATTGCCTTTTTGACACCCAGAATCTTTTAAATAACTAAATGGCAACTATCAAATCTGTTTCACAAATAGTTATAAACGTAACAATCTAGACAGTTATACATATAAAAATTTAGTCAGTTATAAATATAACAATCTAGACAGTTATACATATAACAATCGAATCAGTTATAAATATAACAATCTAGACAGTTACACATATAACAATCGAATCAGTTATAAATATAACAATCTAGACAGTTATACATATAACAATCGATTCAGTTATTAATATAACGATCTAGAACGTTATACATATAACAAACTTGCCAGTTGTACATATAACAAACTAGACAGTTGTACATGTAACATCCAAGAAAGTTGCACATATAAAAAACTAGACAGTGGTACATATAACTTACTAGACAGTTATACATATAACAAACTAGACAGTCGTACATACAACAACTAGACAATTGACCTACAACAACTAGACAATTGTACATACAACAACTAGACAGTTGTACCTACAACAAACTAGACAGTTGTACATACAACAACTAGACAGTTTTACATACAACAACTAGACCATTGTACATACAACAAACTAGACAGTTAAACATACAACAAGCTAGACAGTTGTACATACAACTAGACAGTTTTACCTACAACAAACTAGACAGTTTTACATACAACAACTAGACAATTGTACATACAACAAATTAGACAGTTTTACATACAACTAGACAGTTGTACCTTCAACAAACTAGTCAGGTGTACATACAACAACTAGACAGTTGTACATACAACAAACTAGACAGTTGTACATACAACAAGCTAGACAGTTGTACATACAACAGGCTAGACAATGGTACATACAACAAACTGGACAGTTGTACATACAACAAGCTAGACAGGTGTACATACAACAGGCTCAAGTTTTTTTTTTTATGGTTGTCACAGAATAAGATGAAGCACAAATTAGACAAATATGGAAAGGGAGACAAAAAAAGTCAATTTTAGTTCATTTACAACAAAAAAATTATAATGCCATAACTAAATAAATAAAAAATATAATTTTTAGATCATTATTATTGGTAAATCAACAGGCAGAGAATTAATCAAACTGATACACAACTAGACTTATCATATCGAAGCATGTTCACGACAAATTAGACTTCAAGAAAATATTAAAAATCACAGAATTTTTAACCAAGTCAGTTCTCTAAATTAAATTTTCAACATAATTCATCCTAGTCGAATCCACCAGAACTGAGATGTGGAACACGATCTTAATCTCAATGACCCACTCATTGACCAACCCAATGACCTACTCAATGACCCACTCAACGACCCACTCAATGACCCACTCAATAACCCACTCAATGATCCATTCAACGACACAATCAATGTCCCAATCAATGCCCCACACAATGACCCACCCAATAACCCACACAATGACCCACTCAAATCTTAGTTTACTTGTTCCGAAAATTATTTCTTTATATTTTGGAATCGGGGCCAAGACAAAATGGCGACAACAAAGTCCAGTGACATAGTATTTCAGCCATAACATTTGTCACAATCTATTTTATTATTGGCACATATTGTCACAATTTTACATACACCTATTTTCTTATTAGAACAAATTTGTCACAATCTAATATACCCATATTTTCTTATTGGCACATATTTGTCACCATCTATTATTTCCTTGCTATGACATAAGTTCTGGCTTATTTCTAGCCACCACCACGTGTCTCCTTTTTGTGTTGCCTTGACATTGACGTCACCGAGTGAATGTGCTGTGCCCATCCTTACCCCCCCCCCTTCCTTGATTGGGAAGAGGTTGTTTACGTTGGAATCCATATTTAATCCATATTTTCCTTGCCAAGATGGAGAAAGGGGGGGGGGTAGAATTGCAATAGTGTACGTTTAAAGTCTGTGTGTGTGTAAATTATTATTTGTATTTATCTAGGATTATACCTCTTCACGTGATGTTCTGTAATTTGATAAAGTTTGTATGTTGTTGTTTTTTGTCTCTGTATTTTAAATTTTATGTTTAAAGCAATTTAACAGTGTAATTAAATTGAATAGTGTTAGTATCAAATGCTTTGATATCGTGTTAAGTGTTAGTATCAAATGCTTTGATATCGTGTTCTTTGTATACTGATTTTCATTATTCCGGAGTGTTTCTTCTACGCGCCAAAAATCTTAAAAGAGATTAAGTTTCCAAAACCATAACGGTACGCGACACCCTTGTTTCCCTATTTGCATGCGTGAGTCTGTACTATAATTTTGGAACCATTGCATGAGTCTGTACCATAATTTTAGAACCATTGCATGAGTCTGTACCATAATTTTAGAACCATTGCATGAGTCTGTACCATAATTTTAGAACCATTGCATGAGTCTGTACCATAATTTTAGAACCATTGCAGGTTGTACTCTCAGAATTTATACTAAATACTTTAGACTTTGTTCTTTTTGTATCCTTCTCAGAATCTCTTGAAAGCGGGATAAGACTCATATATGCGCCACTCTGTTCGTGGTGCATGGGTGTTACCATCTTGTGGTGGTGGTGGTGGTCACACTGTCAATAGTCACGAACCTGTCACGCAATTGTCACGTGCCTATCCCGCATCTGTAATGCAACCAAACACAAGCTACTTATCAATAGCGATGCTACTTATCAATATCGATGCTGCTACCAGAGAACTCTCGGCGTGAACGCCTCGCATCGTTTAGAATTGTGTGAGAACTCAGTCCAATTAATTATTCATGTACAAAAATCGAGTGCTTCGTATTTTTTGTAAGGGTGGGGGTAGGGGTAATCGATTCATCTAGCTTCAGGATATAAAACGATTTTCTAAAATAATATTTTTTCCAAAGTCCTGACTTAGTCAACCATGATAACACCAAAGGTGCAAATCACTTCTAGGACACATTACCCGATTGGTGCTTTCAGTCACGTGATGTCTCGTGATTCACCTCCAAGTGTTGGAGGGTGATGGACATTTTGATCATAAGATTTGAGGACTGAAGTGTTTCTTGTTATGAGATGAAGATTTCTTCGTTATTTCTTCATTATTTGTTCACTATTTGTTCATGAAGCTGCAGAGTTGACAATTAGTGTTCAAAAGACGCGGCGTTTAATTAAGGAAATATTTTAAAGCAGACATTAAAGGAAGACTTCAGTAAACACTTCAGACGATTGCAAACATTAAACCAAGATTTCAGTAAACACTTCAGACGATTGCAAACATTAAACCAAGATTTCAGTAAACACTTCAGACGATTGCAAACATTAAACCAAGACTTCAGTAAACACTTCATATAATTTAAGAAAACTGTGCATCATAGCATATTAAACTTATGGCAAGTTAAACTTATGGCAAGTTAAACTTATGGCAAGTTAAACTTATGGCAAGTTAAACTTATGGCAAGTTAAACTGTAGCAAGTTAAACGGTCGTGCAAACAATTCAATTGTATGAAAATGTTAAACAACTTACTGTTGAAACTAAGACAAGATAAGATCAGATAAGATAAGATAATATTCTTTATTCATTCAAACAACGGAAATCTTTTTCCATCAAATTGTACTTATCCATTTTCAGCACATAAATAAACACATGTTTTAACCAAATCAACATTTTACGATTATAACAGTTTTAAACTTATGACATCTCATTGTAAACACATGACATCTCATTGTAAACACATGACATCTCATTGTAAACACATGACATCTCATTGTAAACACATGACATCTCATTGTAAACACATGACATCTCATTGTAAACACATGACATCTCATTGTAAACACATGACATCTCATTGTAAACACATGACATCTCATTGTAAACACATGACATCTCATTGTAAACACATGACATCTCATTGTAAACACATGACATCTAAAGTATTCCTCTTAGCATAGAAATCAGCCATCAACGAACTCCCTTAGTGACAATGATGAATTAATTGGTGATCATTTAAATTTGGTAACCGCTTAGGGGACACGCTGGTAAACTCGTACAGATTTGGAAACAAAAGAATTGTTATATCATTCGGTCCTAACTTAAGAGAAGGAATTTGCTATGATCGAACTGATCTTAGGTATCTGTCATGAAGTGGGTGGGATGTATCATCCAATTTAAAAAAAAAAAACGTTTTAATTGCTTCATTTTCTTCCAATAGTTCTTCAATTGAAGGATATTTTAGTTTGTGTGTTGTTGCTAGCTTTGTTGCCTTCTCTATTCAATCGGTGTTTGATGGCTGACAATGAATGTCAAGGCCGTAGCTGTAATATTATCTACTGCGTCATTTTAATTAACGACATCCGTTGGCGTTGTCTGTCTTATCAGTTTGTCCTGTCTGTCTTATGTGAAATCAGTTTGTCCTGTCTGTCTTATGTGAAACCAGTTTGTCCTGTCTGTCTTATGTGAAATCAGTTTGTCCTGTCTGTCTTATGTGAAATCAGTTTCTTAAATCTGTCTTCGGTGAATTCATTTTGGGTCTGTCTGTTTATGGTATGTAACATCAGACTGGTATGTTCATGTATGTCTAATGGAAATAATATAATAATAAGTATCTTTTTTTATCACCAGGTAGCTCTGAGTGGCTAGCACCAGAAAGATGCAGGCTGCAAGTGAATCCAACAACAGCAGCAGCACAGAGAGTACGCCCATCTACAGGGGCAACTCTAGCCTCATACCCATCGTGTTCCTCATGTCTTTCCTCATCATCTTCGGCAACACCATGACGCTGCTGGCCATCAGGAAGATGACGTCATTGCAGACCAAATCCAACGCCTTCGTTGCGTCACTGGCCGTGGGCGACATCACCGTCGGCCTCGTCCTCATACCCTACGGACTTTGGCTGGTGCCCGACATCAGGGGGGAAGTGGACCAGAGCCTTTTTCTCTGTATCCTGATGGTATCTACTGCATCGTCTGCTATAGTTGTCAGTATTCTCAACCTGATGCTGGTCGCCTTGGACCGCCTGATCTTCATCAGCTACCCGTTCTTCTACCAGAGAGTTGTCACCAGTCGAGTCATAGCTTTCAGCATCGCTGCACCCTGGACGATAGGACTGCTGTTCGGGAATACCCAATGGTTTATTTACGCACCAAAGACTTCGCCGCCACAGTGCGTGATTACTGAAATTCTCCCCACGGTGTATTATAAGTATGCCGCACCTTGGTTCTACTTCATCCCGTGCGTTGCTGTGTTCATGATCTACATCAAGATCGCGCTGATTGCCAGAAAGCAGAGACGCGCCATTACCAAATTGAACACGGTCTGGCCCACGGACGGCAACAGCAACGCAGACACCAGACCTAAGACTTCAAGGATTAACGAGAGGAACTGGAGAACTGTGAAGATGATGATGTCTGTGTTCGGGGTTTTCTTCGTCTGCTGGACACCACGGTTTATTTTGTACGCGTTTTCCGGTGAATATCTAAACACGCACGTGCCGGAAATAATCTTTGACCTAAGTCTGCTGCTGGGATTGCTGAATTCGGGGGTGAATTTTCTGGTGTATCCCTTACATAACAAAGAATTCAGGAGAGCTTTTAAACAAATTCTTTGTTTCTGGTCCAAGCCGGACAGAGGCATGTTTTACCCAGGTAGCACATCACAGGACATGGTAGTTTCTATGGTAACCAAACCAAGACATGTGATCTGATAAAACAGTCCCTAAATTAAGAATATTTCGTTGCTCTGTGGAAGGGGTCGGAAGCTTGTGTCAGTCAACGTTTCAAAATATGTTAACATTAAAGCCATCTGGCTGGACATAATAACACCGGGAACACTACCACTTCTTTCTGAAAATCTAACACATCTACTCTCTCAGCACATGAAATACTCTCTCAGCACATGAAATACTCTCTCAGCAAATGAAATACTCCCTCAGCACATGAAATACTCTCTCATCACATGAAATACTCTCTCAGCACATGAAATACTCTCTCAGCAAATGAAATACTCTCTCAGCACATGAAATACTCTCGCAGCACATGAAATATTTTCACAGCAAATGAAATACTCTCTCAGCACATGAAATACTCTCTCAGCACATGAAATACTCTCTCAGCAAATGAAATACTCTCTCAGCACATGAAATACTATCTCAGCACATGAAGTACTCTCGCAGCACATGAAATACTCTCGCAGCACATGAAATATTTTCACAGCACATGAAATATTATCTCGGCACATTAAATTTTGTCTCAGCACATGAAATATTCAATCAGCACATGAAATATTATCTCAGCACATGAAACATTCTCTCAGCACATGAAACATTCTCTCAGCACACGAACAAGCATGTTACGCCTCTGTCATACCCCCCCCCCCACACAACTACAATTTCCCTGTGCAAATATTTTCGACCTCTTTAATTTCCTTTCGAATAATTTTGTCAGATGTAACATGAGTGTGCTATTGATCCTGCTGAGTTTGGGATCATTGATAATCCACGTCAGGGTGTCTTAAACTTCGGCAATAGTGTACACCTGAAATGATCAGCTCAAATATAATTTTCTCATAGAAATTGTATCAATGAATAAAATGTGTGTGTGTAGATGTTTGTTTCAGCACTTTCTTGCTCTGGAAACATCGAAATGTACCAACTTTGGAACATGCAGCACAGTTTGAGAATCATACGCCATTGTGATGTCCTTGAATTGCACGCTATGAAAAGAAACATTTGAATCAGTTTCTAGACGTTCAAAATAAATATATATTTTTTTACATGAAGTATTTTTTTTTAAATATCGGAAATTTTTGCGACAGAGTTTAAACCAATGACCCTTGACCTATTGGGTATAAAAAGAATGTAGAAAGAAGTTGTTTGTTACACAGGCCACAACCTTGAGTGTCCAAATATTATTATTTTCATATATTATTATGTTCATTTATTATTATATTATGTTCATATATTAATATGCTCATATATTATTATATTATTATATTCATACATTATTATATTATTGTGTTCATAAATTATTATGTTCACATATTATTAGATTATTATGTTCATATATTATTAGATTATTATGTTCATACATTATTAGATTATTATGTTCATATATCATTATATTATTATGTTCATATATTATTAGATTATTATGTTCATATATTATTAGATTATTATGTTCATATATTATTAGATTATTATGTTCATATATTATTAGATTATTATGTTCATATATTATTAGATTATTATGTTCATACATTATTAGATTATTATGTTCATATATCATTATATTATTATGTTCATATATCATTAGACTACTAGGGCCAAACCGGTGCAGTTGTTTACAACTGGTCAAGGTATTATGAGACCCGATGGCTCCAAATGTTACACACACAAAAAGAAAGAGTTGAATTTCATTTTCTATAATATATGCCGGCCTTTAAATAATAGTCCTACACCCTGCCTACCGACCTTTGAACAATAGTCCTAAGAAGTCCTACACCCTGCCTGTCGGCCTTTGAACAATAGTCCTAAGAAGTCCTACACCCTGCCTGCCGGCCTTTGAACAATAGTCCTAAGAAGTCCTACACCCTGCCTGCCAGCCTTTGAAGAATAGTCCTAAGACTGTCCTACACCCTACCTGCCAGCATTGAAATAATAGTCCTAAGACAGTCCTCAGACAATCCTACAGTACTGTTCATATAAAACATGTTGATTAGGGAAGGGCTGGCTGTGAAAAGGAAGCAGGACACACCAAAAGCTAAATACATAGAGTAGATTACAGGAGATGTGACGCAAGAAAAGGAAGCAGGACACACCGAAAGCTAAATACATAGAGTAGATGACAGGAGATGCGACCCAAGAAAAGGAAGCAGGACACACCCAAAGCTAAATACATAGAGTAGATGACAGGAGATGCGACCCAAGAAAAGGAAGCAGGACACACCGAAAGCTAAATACATAGAGTAGATGACAGGAGATGCGACCCAAGAAAAGGAAGCAGGACACACCGAAAGCTAAATACATAGAGTAGATGACAGGAGATGTGACCCAAGAAAAGGACATTTTTCTTTATATTAGGGAGCAGCATTTTCAGCAGACTGCTGAGATTTTTTCGTGGAGGGGTGGCAAAATTCGTGGCCAGCCGAGGGCAACGTTAACCATGGCCACGCCACTGCACCTCCACATTTGAAAAAAAGGTTTTCAGGGGCGTGCTGTGTTCATATTCATGAACTCTTACTTGGCAGTTATGGAAGACGACAAAAGCACGGGGTGTTTGCGAACTCGCAATGCACACTTTAGGGATAAATATACTAAATCTGGACATTTTTTAATAATAATAAAGTTCATTAAAAAAACACGCTTCATCCCTAATTAAGGCTCGAAGCACAATAAAATACAGAACGCAACAATACAAAATCTGCGTACAAGCCAATGGACGATTCAAGCCAATATACATCGAGGAATATGAGCAAGCTCCTTGGAAAACAGGAGGTAGACTACATCACCCCAGCAGGTGAGTACTAAAAAGATGTGTTTTCAACTCAGTTTTGAAAGACTTGCTGTGTCTGGCTGTTTCTGAGAGCGACAGGAAGGCCTTTCCAGATTCTTGGGCCAGCATAAGCGATAGCGCCTTCCGTAGGTCTCAAAGCGGACTCGCGGTATCCAGAGTAGTGATCTAGGGGTAGCACAGAGTTGCAGTTTTGTACTCTATGCGAGCGCGGACCGGAAGCCAATGCAGCTCACTCAGAAGTGTTTTAGCGTGGTCAAATTTTACGGACAGGCAAAATTTTTAAGGGATAATTTTAAAAAAATAAAGTAACGAAGCTAGTAAAAAAAAATATTAAGTCCTAAGACAGTCCTACACCCTACCTGCCGGCCTTGAAACAATAGTCCTAAGACAGTCCTACACCCTACCTGCCGGCCTTGAAACAATAGTCCTAAGACAGTCCTACACCCTACCTGCCGGCCTTAGTCCTAAGACAGTCCTACACCCTACCTGCCGGCCTTGAAACAATAGTCCTAAGACAGTCCTACACCCTACCTGCCGGCCTTGAAACAATAGTCCTAAGACAGTCCTACACCCTACCTGCCGGCCTTAAGGCTCGAAGCGCAATAGAATATTTTTAAAAAGCAACAATAGTAGCATAATAATATTTGAACATAATAATATAATGATATATGAACATAATAATCTAATAATATATGAACATAATAATGTAATAATATATGAACATATGAACAATGACTCATGCTTGAAGAATGTTGATTTTGATAAAGTTTTTGATTTTTTCAATGGAATGTGTTTTGTGTGAAGAATGTTGATTTTGATGAAGTGTTTGATTTAGTCAATGGAATGTCCTTGTATGAATTATGTTGTGACTCAAATAGCGAGAAATGCCAGCAAGGAAGTTTTGGAAGTTTCGACAATTTGTATTTGCAATCGATGAATCGCTGAGCAGTTGTCTCCCCTCTCAACTGCTGGTGGAGGGGGTGGTGGCGATGAAGAAATAAACATACAACAAGAGCTGGCTTCCCAAATAGCATGTACGGAACTGTTACCGATGAGTTGAAAAAAACAATTGCTGATTATAACTTGGACTGGACTAACCTCTGTTGCCTTACTGTTGATGATGGAGGAAATAACCTGAATGACATAAAGAAAGGCTTGGTTGGACAAGTGAAGCAGATGTGTAATGAGAACACATTCTGCAACCAATGTTCCTGCACTCTATTATTCAGCAGAAAGTTTTGTGTGGAAAAATATGTGGACATTAGCGGTGTACTGAATACTGTGGGGTGAAGAGGGTTAATTTAATAAGGTCACTTGGGCTCAACCATAGACAGTTCAGAGACCTGTTGAATGATACCGACACAGAATCGCAAGATTTACCATATTACACAGCAATACGATGGCTAAGTTGTGAGAAAGTTCTGAGCAGAGTATTTAAGTTAAGAAAGGAAATAGGTGACTTCCTGGAAAGTAAAGGCAAGACACAGCCACTACTGTCGGATAAAGAGTGGGTTTGGAAAATGGCCTTTGCTGCAGACACAACTAGTTATTTAAATTTTCTGAACCTTAATCTACAAGGAGATGGAAATCTAGTTTCTGATCTATACACCCACCTCAAGGCCTTCAGATCCAAATTCGTCTTGTTTTTTGGAACAAGTACAGGCCAACAACTTGACACACTTTCAGGAGTGGATGGTCTTCATGGCCGAAGCAACAGCGGAGTTCATCACGTCATTTGTATGCGAGATCATCAAAGACCCCCAGCTGCATTTTCAGCAGCGGTTTTCTGACTTGGATTTGAAGGCAGAAGAAGTGAGACTGTGTCAATACCCATTTGAAGCGGATGTGGCCAGTTGCCCAGATGAACTACAGCTGGAGGTCACTAAGTTACAAGCAAATGACCTCCTTGGGGACAAGTTCAAAGAAGGACTGGTGGGTTTTTACCAGCTTTCACCCAAGGAAGACTTTCCTAATTTCAAAACTTTTGCATCAAGGTACCTTTCAAAATTTGGAAAAACATACCTGTGTGAACAAACAATTTGAAGAGCGAAATACATGAAGAACAATTTGAGAACAATTTGTCCGATGATAATCTCAAGTC